TCCTATTGAAGGTATGGACTGCAGAAAGAGGATCTGGGACAAAACCCACCACACGAAAGCTTTGAAAAAAGTAAAAAGAGAGAAAAGAAATTCCCAAGGAAAGAGGAGGCTCTGTCCATCTGAGGAGGAAGGAGCTAAGACCAGTAATTATGCTTGGGCCTCTCCCCGAGAGACCCTTCACTGTTTTCAGAACCTGCGATTCAAGTGCCACTGCTTCTTGGCTCTCTCTTTTTAGGACCCCAAGGAAGAGGCTTTTGCCAAAGATCTTAATTCCCTCGTCGTTGCAAGTTGGAGTGCCAGGAGGCTAAGGCCCTAAATTCAAGTGCACACAATCGTGCCTTGGCAAACTTGGGTAGTTTCAAGCAGGCCATGCGAAAGCAACAGCCCACGCAGGAGCCATCTGCCCTAACTGAAATGGGGATGAAGACTTGTGGGCTATTCATATCTAGCAGCGAGCAATCAGGTTGGTGACAGCGGAACAATCGATATCCAACCCCTTTGGCAGCAAGCCAGATTCCAGCTACCACACAACTAACCCTTGTTTGGTTGGGGTACTACTACTCCTTATTCGATAGAGGGCATTAGGGACAGCCTGCCTTTCTACAGAGATCCCAATCTCCCACTAGCCTAGCCACAAGAATGTTGGATAGCCGAGTCCTTGAGTTAATGCAGTTCTTGCAGCTTTTGCAATTTGATTTCCAGTTTCTAGTCTTATAGTAGGAACCTCCGCTCCAAGGACAAAAAGACCAGGTGAAAGGGGTGCGGGACTCTCTTTAACCCCCATGATATACCTCGTTTACTTCTTCCTGCCCTAAATTGATTCCTCTTGGTTGTCTAATTGAATCTGATACAATGTTTTTGTTGAATCTGATATAATGTTTTTTGCTAAATCTCCCTGTTCAGCTTTAAGGATTTGTTGTCCATAACCTGTTCGATAAAATGTCAACCTTCTTTCTTTTGGTACTTATATTAATTTACTCAATAATATATACACTAATAGAAATTTAGTGAAAAGAAACTCATTTTCTAATATTGATACTACACTAATTTGTAGCTTTGACAATAATACAAGAAGGTAAATCGAGCTAGTAGTCTCATGTTATTGGCTACTTGATGAAGCTGCTATTTTTTGGCATGGAGATCATTTTGATTTTGTGCAACAATGAATGTTTACTGCTATGCTCTACTGTAGCTTGAAATAACTCATATAGTCGTCAATTTAATCAATCTAGGGTGGGTAAACGAATTGTGTCAATATATATACTCACATAAGACTCTGTTGTTGATAAGTGTATGTTTCTTTGTTAACTCAAAGGTGATAAGTTGAGCTGAACTTGTAATTTTTTTTAATGTGCAAGTATTATGATCATTGCTTTATAAGTTGGTAGATACACATGTTCCGTTGTTTTTTACTGTATTTCAAATTTTGTTATCTTCTGATTAATCTATGAAAAAATGCAGTCTCCCTGTTGGAATATGATTCTGGTTATGTCGTTGGTTTAGTGATAGAACAAGTGGAGGACTTAGATTAAGTTGTTCTGTCCTAGAAATATCTCATCTTAGTTTCTTGAACATTTTGGGTTTAACTATTTTGTCTTTACACCAAAACAGAAAGCTGTAATTCTATTTGGATACCTTAGTTAAGGAGACAGAAGAAGTGAACTTTCCCCAGAATGAAATATCTTTTCTGGTGTTTTATTAGTATGAATTCCTTGCAAATAGAGCCTAATCAGTCTAACCTATATCCAATTTTTCTAGGTCAATCCTTGAAACTTGACTAGTTTGACTTTTACCAAATTAGCATTTTGAATTTTATGATATGACTACTGTGAATCTCATTCTATCTTTTATTAATTCACTCCAATTTGTGCTAAAAAAGAAATTTTCTGTGTTTATACACGAGGCAGCAGGTCCATTGAATACAACTTGGAACTCCAGAACTTCGAAAGAAGACATGGAAGATATGTGGATTCATCCCAATGTTAATAAGGAATGGATGAAGTCAGGAGAGAAAAAGGGAAAAGTTCAATTTTTTCATGACACAGAGATGAGGCCTTATCTTTCCCGTGTGGAACTAAGGGTGAGATATTGTTTATACAATACGTATTTAATGACTGACTATTGAATGTTAGCCTTTTTCTTTAATTTGATCTCTCTTTGGTACGCATTTTACAATTTCCTTTTTCATTGTGCTATAAGTTCGTTTTCTGCATACCTGTGTAGTTTTACTCCATGGTAATTCGTCTTTAATGCCAATTAACTGTTTGTGCTCTCAAGCAGACACGTCATGGGCTTTTCTTAGACAAAAATGCTGCAGGCTTGTGGGAGTTTTTAATTTCTTTTAATAGCTGGGTTGACTGACGTAATGAGTTTTGTTTGTACCTATGTTCTTTCAATTGCTATGATTTAATCATAGGATACCTTAAAGGGGACAAAACAAATACTCAAGCAAATATCTTAATGTTGTTAATTAGTTCTATAATTCGAAAATCACTCCCTTATCCTTGTTTATTAGTATTTGATATGTTTACTTACTATATAGTCTAGATGTGCTAATTGTGACAATCCAGTGAACAAGTAATCACAAGTAATCATTCAAACTTCTTCATTGAGCACTTGGATTCGTTCATTTGTGATGTTAGTGCTTCGTGAAATTTTGTCCAAGATATCTCTGTTGTTTGACCTTTCCAGTGAGATAAGAGGAACCAGTTGAAGATTGATGGAATATTCGTGGTTATGACTAAAGGCTCTCATTTCACTAGTAGTCAGTTTTGTTTGATTCAATTGGGCCTACAGATGATGTTCATTAGTGCTTTCCATGTATTTGTTGTGAAAGGGTTGTGAAAATTGTAAATGTTCCAAGAACCATTTCTTGTTCTGTTCTTTCTTTTTTAAGTTTTCTTTTTTTTTTTTGGGGTAGGGAAGAGGAGGGTCAGGGGGCAGGAGATTGGGTTTATTGGACTTTGTGGTTGGTATAAGAGGATGAGTGGTGTGATTATGGTTGTTGGCAAGTATGAGGTGGTAACTAATAGATGAAATTAAAGCTTCCAGGTGGGAAACGTTATGATCTTTTCTCTAGCTAATATTTAAGAAGTAAATGCAACTAAAGCTTCATGATCAGCTACTGCTGCACATTTATGTATTGGCTTTATGGGCATTGAGTTGCTAATACTTATTCTGAAAGCTTTTAACTTTACGCATTGATCTGTCCTGTAATTGCCGATATGAAATGCATGTAACTAGTTTTGTTAGCAGTTGACTTTATGTTACTGAGTGGATACAAGGTTTAGTTTTTCATTGATAGCAGATTGATCTTAAGTGTGAGTGGGTTGCAAAATTTCCCTCTGGAAGTGATTATTTCGTCGAATACAGAAAATTTGAACAAATTTAAATCCTTAGAATGGTTCCTAACTTTGAATCAAACAAAATGACATGGCTCGTGGCCTAACCCAGAGTAGTGGAAAAGGGGTTCATGTCTTTACATCGTGGCTCTTAGGTCTCATCATGAATGGCTTCGCCTCTGGAATCACGACAATTTAATTTGATCTTTAGCAAATACATTGTGGCTTTTCTGGAAAGCTCTTGTTAGTATGATGATCTAATGATCCCCCACAAACTTTGTGCACAGGTGGAACCAGCTGAAGATTGATGGGGACTTCGTGGTTATGACTGAAAGCTCTCATTTCATTGGAAAGTTTGGAAGCTACTGTTAGTTCTTTCAACTTGTTAGGGATGAGAATCTTTTAGGTTGTGCACAAGAGAGTATTTCAAGTTTGTGTACTTGAGAATGTTTTAGTACTTGTTTGGGATTTTAGTACTTGCTATGTTTGTACTTGTTACCGACTTTTAATTCAATGAATTATATTTGAGTATCGACTTCTTTTTTTAAATTGCTATATGCATTCTGTTCTTTTGGTTAATTTTACAAGTCCCTTGGGATTCTGGTTGATGGAATGTACAGCAGGGAGGACTAATTGTAGGTTGCTTCCATATAAAAAAAAAAATAGGGAAAAAACTCCTGACAATTAAAAGTGTCAGCATAGCTTAGCTTCGAAAAACACTAATGACAAATGGGCATGTCATCCAAAGCAGTGTAAATTCACATGGCTACGTGTCCTTAAAGCCATATATTAAGACAACTCAAGATGCCTTCATAAATTGGATATCCTACTGATCCGCTACTGATGTTCTAATGGTATACTAACACTTTCGATTATCACAAAAAAAAGTTTTTGTTGGCAGGAGGAATGCTATAGCAGCATGGTTTTCCTAACACATTTGAATGCTGCTAAAGATTTAAGGCTATCCCCACATTGGAAGGGACAACACTCGCCCTAGGTGTGAGGATAGATAAAGTGTCAGGTTAGATTATCTATACTGACACCTGTAGATATATGTTGCTTTACTGGTTTATTTCTTAAATTTTCCCAGCCATAAGATAAACATATAATTTATTAAAAATCTTTTGGACTATTTCTTTATTTACTACAGAAATAATCATTCATTGTCTAATTTCCTTGAAACATACGCAAAATAAGTTCAAGAATTTACCTAAATATTCATGTATTCAAGAAAATCACATAGGTTCTTTCATTACAATGAGATTAGAATATCTGATGACTCAATATCAAGAAATGAAGCGCTGAGTTTGCGATTACTACCATCCATGTCTAAGTTATTTTTCGTTATTCTTTGTCACTTGACTTTTCATTTGGATAGCGGTAGCGATTTGTGCCTACTTTCTTTTTCAAAATTTTGTTTAAAATAATGACTGACAAAAATAACATATTTTATCAACCAAAAGTCCTTACTAACTGAACCAAAAATGACACGTTATAATGATTAATCCCGGTAAAGGTTGATAAGGTTTCGTGTTTGAATGTTAGTAAGAAGAGAGAAAGAAAGGCCATTCTTTGACCATTTTTAATCAAGAATGTCATTTCCAACTCTCAAAAAGTAGAGAGTTATTTTTTTTTTTTATCAAAAACGACATCACTTTATCAATGATACGCTATCCAACTTACAGAAAAAAATGGGCAACTGCCCTTACAATCTGCATGAGCAAGCTCAAGCAACCAACCTGGGAAACATTCCTTCCATTCGGCTGGACACTCCATTTGTAATGCTTTCCTAGCTAATGTATGGCTAACAGAGTTGTTTTCCCTTTTAGTGAAGGCAAAACAACATTCGTCAAATCTGTATTTTAGTTTCCTAATGTCAGAAATCACAGTACACCTAACGGCTTCATCATTCGTACTGTTAATATCATTGATAACCTGTAAACAATCAGATTCAAATTCCACTCGTCTCCACCCATTCTGTTTCGCCACCAGCATCGCGAGCCTGAGAGCCTTTGCTTCCTCCACTTTGGCATTGGAGCAACTTGTACTTGGCACTGCCCAAGCACCCTTCACCTCTCCTTGCCAGTCCCTTGCAATCAGTCCCCAACCAGCCTTATCCCCCTCCTGGTCTAGAGCTGCGTCTGAATTTACCTTTATCCAATTAATCCTCCTTCGGTCCCCTCCAGCTACACGTGCCTTCCGTACTACACCTGCAATCTCCCCCCACTTCCTCCTTTACCTCCTGTGCTTCCATGTATTCACGCCACTCCAGCACTGCTTTGCTTACGGCTACCACTGGCTCCCTTCGTTTATTATTAAATTGCACTCCATTTCGTGATTTCCAAATTTGCCAGAGCAGGTGTACAGTGAGCTCAATCCTTTCCCTCCCTTTCTCTTCCCTCACCGCATCCTTCATCTCCTCCCACCACAACCAGAATTTACTCCTGAAGTTCTTCAGCCCGTCCCAGTCAAGTGGAGCAGTTTTCCAGATCTCCTGTGCACTGTTGCAGAAGAAAAACAAATGTTCAATAGTTTCTGGGTTTTCCCCACAACATTTGCACAGGAAATTTCCTTTTGAGCATCTATCCATAATCAGTGCATTTACTGGGAGAATGCCATTCAAGCATCTCCAGATAAAGTGTTGTAGCTCTGGCTTCATATTCATACGCCATACAGAGTTCCAGCTCAAAGTTGCCCAGCTCATACTACAGCCATGTTCTGCCCTTGTCCCCCTTTGTTCCTCCTTCCTCTTCCTGATTTTAGCCAACTTATACCCTGATTTCACCGTATAAACACCAATACTAGACATAACCCAGTATATTCTATCTTTCATAGGCATAACACTAAGTGGAATCCTAAGTACTTCCTCACAGTTTCCTCGTCAAATATCCTAGTAATCAACTCCTTATCCCACTCCCCATCCTTTATAAGCTCGTTCACCCACTGGACCATGACCTCCACCCCCTCCCTGGCTTTGACTCTTCCACCATCAGCTTCTGGAAGCAACCTATCGTCCTAAATATGTATAGTCGCCCCATCCCCTACTTGCTTCCTCATCCCCTCCTCTAGCAAATCCTTTGCTTTCAAAAGACTTTTCCAACACCAAGAATCAGTCCCATTGCTCTCAGTCTTCCAAATAGAGGCTCCCTTAAAGTACTTAGCTTTAAATAACTTGCTCACTAGAAGGTTGGGTTTAGTCAAAATTCTCCATAGTTGCTTAGCCAACAAAGCCAAATTAAACTCATGCAGATCCCGGAAGCCCAGTCCCCCAGCCGACTTTACTTCTGACATCTTTCCCCATTTCATCCAATGTATCTTCCGTTCATCCTCCTTTTGTCCCCACCAAAATTTGCCCATCTCTGAGCAGATTTCCTTACATAGGATTTTTGGCAATAGACAACAGGACATCACATAAGCAGGTAAGGCCATCACCACAGACTTAAGTAGCACCTCTTTACCAGCTTGGCTCAGTAATCTCTCCTTCCAACCCTTTAACTTCATAATTGTTTTTTGCCGTATGAAATCAAACACTTGTCTCTTGGATCTTCCTATGACCAGTGGTAACCCCAAATACCTACTTTGCTCAACCTGCCGCATCCCTTGCAGTTCATTCAGGACCTCTGTCCTTTTCCCCACAGCCACATTCCTGCTAAAGAAACATGAAGACTTCTCAGCATTGATCATTTGGCCCGACGCACGTTTGTAGACATCCAAAATCCTAATCAGTTCTCGTACCTCCTCAGCCTTTGCCTTACAGAATATCAAAGAATCATCTGCAAAGAAAAGGTGAGACAAACTAGGAGCCCCACGCGCAATATTCATCCCAGTCAGTTTCCCCCTTGCATTAGCTTGCTTAATTTGACTAAAATGAAATATTGTATCATCTCCGAAAATCTTATGAATAAAATTTGTTTGTGGCTAATTCTCATTTTTCACTAACATGCACGAGCTGTGATAATAAAATAGTAGAACCGCTAGCTATATATACCAATCTCCAAGATTGTGTACCAAGATAGAAATGGTGAGTGATTGACCTAAATACTCTGTTAAGACATTGTATCCTCACCTATTACCACATTTGTGTAGATTGTCATATCTATAGTTCCACACCACATTGCCAAAGGACACCATATTGTGACTCAGAATATTTGTTGCTAGAAAACCAAGTCGCTAAATCAGCTAGCTAGTCCCACTTTTTGGGACTATGTTGTTTAGTCCTGAGACCAGAAAATCATTTAACACTTTCAGCTTTTCACTAACTTGTACTAATTCTCAAAAGGATTGCTGGTGCACTTTTTGTTTTTATTATACGAAGAATTAGCATTGACTCCAAAGGTAACTTCAAATTTTCATTCTCACCATCCTCTTGCACACTTTTTTCTCCTTTCATTCCTAAAACATTTTAAAAGGACTGAAAACTAAAAATTTGTCAAGAAACAAAGATGACATGCAAACTTTAGATATCTAAATAACTTGTAACCTAGTAATCAGTGCACTAAACATCAAATTTGTCCATGCATAATGCTAAGAGAAGATTCGTAAAGTCCAAAAGATAAGGACGATTGGTCGCTTTTTTATTTTTTCGCAGCTAGAGATCCCGGTTATCATAAAATTTATCCTAAATACACTAGGCAATCAAGAAAGTTCATTTACAATTAATTCTTTGAGAGGATTATTTACTGAGTTTAAGAAGTTTCTTTTATTAGTATTTAGAAGAAAAACCAATTAGAAAGTAAATAGCCTAGAAAGGTTTCATTTTCAGTCAAAATAAAGTAGATAGAGGCTCATTATCCTCATCTTGGATTGTTCTTCCTTTCTTCTTGATTCTTTTTTTCCTCATATTTAACTTAGATCCCACATGCACTTATGTCCATCTTTAAAAGTTTTAGGGTAAATTACATATAACCCACTATGATTTTACATAATGCAAAATGATTCCCCAAAGTTTCAAAATAGCCACATAACCACCTGTGGCTTTATGTAAAGTGAAAAATTGATAAAATGCATAATCAGCTATGGCAATTAGACTACAAGCACTCTAAAAGTGCATTTGATGAATCATAATATCCACTTAATCTTCCCTATAGTTTACATAAATATCCACATTATATCCCTATGATTTTGCATTTATCCATGTGATTCCCCTATGATTTTGTACAAGGAAGCTAAGTCATCGTTTGGTTTAGCATTTAAGTGAGTGCACTATTAGTATTTCAGTTAATGATGCTACATAGACTATTTTCTATTAAATTTCTAGTTCACGTGAAACTATAGAGGGTAAAATGGATATTTTGAAATATTAGAGGGGTTACATGGCAATAGATAAAACCACAGGGAAATTATTAGTAATTTTTCCAAAATTTTATTTCATACTGTCAAAATAACTATAATCAAGTATATTCTTGTTTTTAAGGGTATAAAAAACTCCTTATGGTTGCTAAATATTCAATTTAACTCCTTCTGATTTGAAAACTTATATTATAACTCTCCATGGTTTCAACTAAATTGAAAATTAGACAAAAAAAAACATCCAATCTAATGATTATACGTGAAATGTTAATATTGCCCCTATATAATGAACTCTCTATAATTTGCTGAATATTCAATCTAACTCCCTCTGGCTTGAAAAATTATATTATAACTCCCTATGATTTCAACTAAATTCAAAATTGAATAGAAAGCATCTCACATATGGTTGGGGCAATATTGACATTTCACACACAACAGTTAGATTTAATACTTTCTGTTCAATTTTTAATTTAGTCGAAACCATAGGGAATTATATTGTAAGTTTCCAAACCAAAGGAAATTAAATTGAACATTTATCAAATCATAGAGAGTTTTCTGGTATTTTACCCTATTTTTAATAGTAACACTCTTTGACGCTGCAATACGGTTAAAAGGTTCTCATTCTCATGTTCTTTAGTTCCTCTAATAAGCTTGTAGTTTTAAAACATTCTCATTGTCATGTTCTTTGATTCCTTTAGTAAAAAGTCATAAAATTTGTTTTATATACGATTTTCATCGTGCTCAAAAAAATAAGTTGGTTGTACCAAAAAAAAAGTTAAAAGTTCAAGAATTATCTATATACAACTTTAATTAATTGAAAAGCCTTGTTATAAAAGTTAATTTTTTGTAAATAGTTTGTTGATCGTTGAAATTTAGAGCTTTCAATGGATCATACTTTTCAATCTCGTGATAGACAATACGATTAAGAGGCTACTATAGCATCTCAATATTCTTTAACCTGAAAGAAACCATTTACATATTGATAGAATGCATTTTTGTTATTAGATTTATTATTTTTTTCTCCTTGAATCTAGCCAAATATTGTGTTAGTTGATAGATTCAACCTACATTTGGTTAATGGTGCTAATTGTAGGAAAATGAGCAAAAACTAATTAAGAGGAGCAATTTTCCAACATGTGAAGAATTAATTTGATGGTGGCACAATCGGGAACTACTTTCAAGTCCAGAAGACTCGAGAATTTATTGCGCACAGAGATTTCCTAATTCGAGTCAGTATGGGCACCTTTGGTTAAGGATGGCAACGAGTGTGGGTGCCCACAGGCACCCGCCCGCAGGGGGCCATTGGGGCGGGGGATGAGGCGGGGGCAGGGGGAATTTTTTCCCCCCGTTTAAAAACGGGGCGGAGGATGGGGCGGGGCAGTCGTTTGAAAAAATATATATAAATATGTATGTGTGTACATAATTATATATATAATGATATTATCAATTATACTACTAATTATATATATCTATTAATAAAAATTATTAATTATTTATACTAAATTTATTAATACATTTATGTTAAATTCCTAACTACACTTAATACAATAACAATTTTTTCTAAAAAAAAAAATAATTTAGTGATTGTATTTGTATCAAAAGTGAAAATTTGATTATTTTAATTATATTTGTTTTATCGTATTAGATTATATTCAAATAACCTTTGTTTAATTATTTTTATGAGTTTCAATTGTGAAATTACAATGAATGATAATTTGGTGATGTATTGATATTTTAGAACTTGATTTATTTGCTCAAATTTAATTATAATAAAATATTTTTAACCCCGCGGGGCAGATCAGGGGCGGGCTGGGGGAAGCTGGGAATGGGGGACGGGTCGGGGGCGGGGGGGGAAATAAAATGCAACGGGCACCCCTCCCCCAACCCCCGCCCCGCCCCATTGTCACCCCTACTTTTGGTTGAAGATTTGGAAGAGTTTGACTATCTCTATTAGTTGTGGAATTGGATTAGAAAAAATGAACATTATCTTTTATAGTTTCTTTTTTCTATTTAGGAAAATTTATTATTATTATTATTATTATTAGTAGACACGAAGTAGGAAACAATGGGAGAGGAAGTCGGCTAGCTTCCGCTTGATTAGTACTTTGGCAAGAAACAAAAGTCGTGACGGGAGCATTAGGAAAAGGGGGACGGCCGCCTCCTTTCTTTCTTTCTGGGGAGTTTTTCTCTTGTCGAACACTTTTGCGAACATTCTCATTGAATTCGTGCGGATTTATCCCGATGATGCGCAACTAAATTCCTTTTTTCTAGTCAAGGATTAATAAAGGATTTGGTTCAACTACATCTGTGAGATATAATTGTTTTTATTAACTTCTTTTATTCGTTAGTATTCGCATGTTTTCTAATTTAATTTTTCATAGTTGTTTTGTTATTTGAATATTAAGGACCCCGATATTTAATTCAACTTAACAAACTATTGCCAGTTAGGACAGTTAAATCCGGAATTGGTTAATTATCTTAAATTAGTAGCGACTAGTGTGATTGGTTTCAGTTAGAGAAACATATGATCTAATTTAAATGAACCCTAGT